CAGTAGCAGAGACCTGAGCCCCCAACTATTTTTGGATGATAAACATTTGTATCAGGTCAACTAAACAATAGTTAATATTAAAAGTAACAATATTTTTTATACTACATTTATCCATTTTAAATACACTAACCTCACTCCTTTTGTAACAGCCAAGGCAAAAATGTAATAAATTCCAAAAATCTTTTCAGGACCCCACCTTGATTTTTCGGGGCCCCACTTTGGGTCCTGACCCCAACTTTGGGAAACACTGCTCTAGGGGGCACCAAGGTAAAGTTAGTAAAATATCTACTCAAACCCATGCATTCTTCCAGCCAGCTGAAGAGCATTTTACTAAATGTTAGGAATTAATAAAACAACATAAAATCAGTATTTTATGAAGGTCAAACGCTGAAAACCAGACTTTAACCTGAACTTTATCTGAGATTAGAACTGAAACTTCTATTGTCCTTGTATTGTTTTCCCTTTGGGATCAATGAATTGTTTTTGAATTGTATTTACAAAAAGAGCACCAGTCCAGACTACATCATGATACTTTCATGACAAAAGATTCTCTGCACCATATAACATGTAGTAACAAAGCAGAACAAGTTACCTTCATAAACTTGAGCAACCATAATTTACAGACTAAACGAACTTTGTTAAAAGGTTTTAATATACTGTATGTGTCCCATTTGTGATGCCCCTTAGATGGACGGCATCCTTAGCGTTTGCCTATGCTGTCTATGTCACGGGTTGGGTTGAGTGTGAGACACAGGAGCAGTGGGCTGCGTGGCACAGCTGTAACAGGCCACTGAGCAGCACGATTAGCGCTCCCACGGCCCTTCTTCCACTACATTTGAGGCTCCAGTCGCCTGTGTTCATGCCACTAAATGTTACTTTAAATCAGTGTTAGCTCCAAACTAAAGTCTGAAGTAGTAGGGCCAGGACCTGATCTGTTTTTATTTTATAATTGTGGGAAAGCAATGAGAAAAATTAAAAAAGTGGAATGTGTTATTTTATCAATTAAACACAAACAGAAAGTTAGAGGTAAGTTGTTGGTTTTAAAATGAAAAATAATTCACTTTTTCATCTGAAATGCTTGAAGCTGGTGTGACTCTGAACCATAGATTCCCACTGGAGGCTGTCAAAAGATCTTGTTTCAGGTTTCCCCAGTTGGAATCGGCAGTGCGCATTGTGTCCATCAGAGGGCGCTGCAGAGCTCTCCACCCCCCCTCCCTCCCTCTCTGAGGTGCTTGAATGGGATCCCAGTGTGATCTGGCTCACAGGCGCCAGGCGGGAGGGGAGCACACAAGTTGTGGAGGAGCTCTGAGGCAGGAGCAGCCTGCTGCCCGACTTTCATCGACATTCCGCCGTCTGTCCGGCTCGCGCAGCCGTGCCAAACGTTTCGCGGTGCGTAATTACGCACAGGAGAGACGGCGGATCCGCCGCGGTTCTGGTTCTCTCTCCTTGGAACCCCCGTGGACACAAAGGACGCCAGGCAGGCTGGAGTACAACAACTGAGTTCAGTGTGTGGAGAAGAAGTCCTGGTGGAGGGGAAACGAGGGGGGGTCCGGACTCGGAAGTGATTTGCCCCTTTTTTTTCTTCAGAACGCGAGTCGCGGATTTCGGGAAGAAAATCAGCATTTTTGGACTGTGAGGGTAACGGAGCAGGAAGAGTTCGTGAGTGGAAATAGTCCTTAAAAATCAGCATCAGATCCTCGGAGCATGGGGTAAGTTCGAGATCTGAGATGACTCCTTCATATCCCTCTGGCTGACTGGAAGAGTTTTTACTCAGATCAGGAAAGAAAGGCCGTTAAAGTGAACTTAATTACGTTTCTTCTGGGTTTTATTAATAGCGGCTTCTGGAGCGCACGTGATCCRGCTGTTTTCTTTGTTTTTGTCCTAATAGACAATCCAGATCATAGAGGGCTCCTTTATGCTCAGCCTGACCCAGTTTCCTCAGAATATCTCCTGTCCTGGATGACAGCTGTGACCTGCAAGAAGGTCGAAGTCAGATTTAATGAGAACTGAATTAAACTGATTGAATTTACTGTCATTTCGTTTGATTTTGGCACAGGCTTCTAAATCTGTGATGTTTGTCCTGTTGAAAATCCCAAGCAGAGGCCAGATAAATGGACTGCTGTGGTTTTTCTTTGCTTCATTTGTCTGGACCACTGATTGTTGTGCAGGGATCCTCCTTAGGTATTGGCTTCCTGCTGACATACTGTGTTCAGTCTCATTAACTCTGTGTGTGTGCCATCTCTAAGGCCAGTTTGACTCTAAAACGACTGAACAGTGATCAGACATGCATGTTTTTTTTATAGGAATGAACATTTATAACGAGTGTAACATGTTTGAGTCTCATCAAGTCATTATATTTGGATGATGACTGAAAACRGCAGGGGTCAGAGGTCATTCGAAGGCAACACAGCAGCCTCTTTATTCTGTGCAGTTACTGATGTGTGTGTGTGTGTGTGTGGGTGGGGTGGAGGGGTAGAGTGGGGTGTCAAACTTTTTAATTTAGCCTTCACAGCCTATCAACAGTTAACCGGATGCTGAAGAGGTTAAACTAGAAGAGGGAGATCCTCCCAGACAGGAGAGTCCCAGCACAAATCCTGTCCCCTCCATATTAACAAAAATGACCTTTTTCCTCATTAATGAAAACAAAATAAGTATTTTTTTCAAGTGTTCAATACATTTAGCTGTAATTAGTCATTTAATGCTTAAAAGGAAGGTGGTGTAGCACCATGATCAGTCTAAGTGGGACTGGTCCAGGAAAATACAACAGGGCTGCTTCCATAAACCAGTTCCCGCTGGCTTTAAAGTAAACATATCATGCTTTTAAATAATTTTTTAAAATATCTAAATCATCCAGTTGGTGTCTGTATAAAGTGGAACTGCTTTGGTCTGAATTCCTCCTTATTGTGACTCCACAAGCCCCTCTTTCACTACTTTTCTGTGGTGTGTCTCAGGTCACCTCGTTTTGAGGCTGTCTCTTTAAATCCAAATGAGACAAGCCCCGCCCCCTCCAGCTTCCAGAGTGGTCCATTCTAGTTTGATYYAGGGGTTTATGACTATATAGAGGCACAGYAACTTTTTATAATTACAAATMAATTAAGATGTCAACAAGGGAAGACTTGTCCATCCAGTCTTACATGTTGGAGCCAGAATCTGACCCAGAGCCAGAGGAGAATGAAGACCACCTAAGTGTAGTTGGTAAGTCCAGAACTTATTTGGCAGTTCTGTCACAAATAATTAGATGTAATATTTCAGAAAACATCACAGAAAATAGAGAAAACTGAACAGGTTGAATGTGACCCAAACAGAATATAAAGGTATATCTGCAGCACCAGGAGAGACTAAATTCTAATTTTCTGCTTTAGAGGCTCCAAGTTCACAACAAAATGAATTTAACAGCTAAAATAGTGGATTTTGTATGGTATGTCCTTTCTAATTTTCAGCAACAATATGATAAATTGAAGGAGTTTTTTATTTGCATAAAAGGACTGCATTTTGAGAATTATGTTTCAAATTGGGCTGCTYCCTTATCGTGGTGGAGGGGTTTGAGTGTCCCAATGATCCTAGGAGCTATGCTGTCTGGGGCTTTATGCCCCTGGTAGGGTCACCCA